CCCCCCCCCGTGCTCTCTGTATGTTAAGAGTGGTAGAAGGAAATTATTTCCTTTTGTACAGAGCTACTGTAGAAGGCAAGCCAGTGTGGTATAATGGTTTCAGTGTTAGACTACAGCTCTGGAAACCAGGGTTCAAATCCCTGGCCATGGAGACATATTAGGTGACCTAGGGCAGTGGTCCCCAACCTTTTTATTGCCGTGGACCGGTCAACATTTGATAATTTTTCCGCGGCCCACTGGGGGGGGGGGGTTTGCGGCGTCGCGTTGATTATTAAATCAAAACAGATCAGTGGTCCCCAACCCCCGGTCCGCGGCCCGGTACCATTTGTTCTGCGGACCGGTACCGGGCCGCGGACCGGGGGTTGGGGACCACTGACCTAGGGCATGCTCTCTCAGCCTCAGAGGAAGGTAAGGCGAGTCTTCTTTGAACAAATCTTGCCAAGGAAACCCTGTGACAGGTTCACCTCAGGGGCGCCACAAGTCTAAAATGACTTGAGGGCACATAGTAACAACAACTGTAGATGGTACTTGTTTATTTGTAAGAAATACTGTGTATTTCTTACACAGTAAAAAAGACATCAGAGATCTAATTACCAGGCATGTGAAGAGGACTCAGGGAAGGAACAGTAATATCCCAGATAATGAGTTGCTAGTAAGTAATGCAAAAATGTGTAAACATCCAGCCATCTGAAGATTATTCTTTTGATGCTTCATGATTCCAAAGCAAACCTCATAAAAATGTACTTACAACAATATATATTTAACTGGAAAGTTATCAATTTAGCATAGTGACTAACTGCAGAATTTAGTATAGTGATTACCACCCTTCTATAACAACAAAAACTCCTCTAGCAATTTAAAGGGTATTTCCAGTTTGATTCAAGCAGTATGTTGCTTATGAACTTGTACAGAGAAATGGAACAGAAAAAAATTCAAAACACAAATGGAAAGAAGAGACTATCATTTTGTTATACCATCCTCCATTTCACCTGCTCGTAGAATGTTGTTGATAACGGCAATCTTGAAAAACCAAAGGCATTTATTTCCTGCCTATAATGGCTACCACTTCTCATGTAGATGATCTATGAAACAAGAAGGAATTATTGAAGTATTTCTGTACACATTCCTCTAAATCAGGGGTCGGCAACATTTTTGGGGGTGGAGCCAGTCCTCCTGTCCCCCGATGCCCCCTGGGCTGCGGCAGTGTGCGCGTGCGCACCCCAGACTGCACCCGGCCCACAGGCCTTAGGTTGCCGACCCCTGCTCTAAATACATGGATAAATACATAAATATGCTAACTCCATAGTTCCAGTAAGATCATTGGCTCAGGCAAAGAAATTATCCAATCATTAAGACAGATGTCATATTTAAATTTTATTCAGGTTCCTTAACTGGAGAAAAGTCTTTTGGCAGCAACCACAAAGAATGACCATCAGGTAAACCAGTTCTACCCAAAGTGGTAGTCCCTGGACTGGTGCCAATTCCTGACCCACTGGTAGCTAGCCCCTTGAGAGTTTCCAGGAAAAGAAGAAAGAACTACAACCAATAGACACAAATTTGGTACCAATCATTAGCACACTGGAAAACAAAAATAACTGCTGGTCCCTTATATCAGGTAATCTTAAGACCCTAATCTTTTGCAGAAATAAACTATCAACTACAACTACAGAAGAATATCTGAATAGTGCAATCCAAGTGCAGCTGTGGGCAGACAGAGCAGGTCTGCAGTTCTGAACTATGAAACAGTGCTAAGTATAACAGAAGAACACAAAGGAAAGAGGAAAAAAGGATGGGGTAGAGAAAGGAATACAGTCGTTCCTGATTCGCGGGAGATCCGTTCTGGACTCACCCACAAATTGTAAAAACTGCAAATATTCAAAGCCCATTGGTTAAAGTGGGTGTGCACAATTTTTTCCCTTCCCACTTGCCATCCATGAAGGAGTGAGACCGTGGACGCCAAGTCTTCAAATGGGGAGGGACGAGCATATAAGAAATCTCAGATACTCAAAGCAAGCCAAGCAAGAAAGTGTAACAGCTGAGGGGAACACAAGCTCAGTAAAAAACTGGCTTCTTCAAAGGGTGAATGAGAACCTTACTTTCCTTATGTCCCTCAGCCTGATAAAATGACTGGTGGAGGACACTTGGGGAAAAAGAGAATGGGCTGGTTCTCCGGCTATATAGAAGATGTTGTTGTTGTTGTTGTTGTGGGCCTTTGAATCATTTCCGACTTATGTTGACCCTAAATCATGAGGTTTTCTTGTCAAGTTTTCCTTTCCCCACCTCACGCTTTTTCTCTTATGCTATTTTTTAAAACTGTGGACCTGAGGACTAGAGATATCTTGTAATTTTAAAAATATATTATTTAGAGTAGAGTATAAATATAAGAAAAGCAGACCTGGACACAAAAGAAGGAAGAGTGAAAATAGGAGGAAGGAATATAAACATGTAAGATATGCAGATGACTCTATAATACCAGCAGAAAATCTCACAGATCTAGACCAACTACTGAGGAAGATCAAGGAAGAAATACAAAGGCAGGCTTACTATTGAACATAAAGAAAACAAAAATAATGACCACAGAGAATCTACACAAATTCAACCTGGCCAAAGAAGAAATAGAAATAGCACAAGAGTTCTCACACCTGGGATCAAACATTGATAGAAACAGGGACCACAGCCAGGAAATCAGAAGAATGGGGAAGGCAGCTATGAAAGAACTAGAAAAGATGCTAAAACGCAAAGATATACAACTCAGCACAAAATTTAGAATCATACAAGCCATTATATTTCCTATTACCATGTATGGATATGAAAGCTGGACAGTTAAGAAAGAAGATAGGAAGAAAATCAATGCATTTGAGATGTGGTACTGGAGAAGAGTGTTGACAGCAAAAAGACAAGCAAATGGGTCCTAGAGCAGAGCAAGCCAGAAATCTACCTAGAAGTCAAGATGACCAAACTGAGGCTGTCATACTTTGGACAAATCATGAGAAGGCACAGCTCATTGGAAAAAACAATAATGCTAGGAAAGGTAGAGGGAAGTAGAAAGAGAGGAAGATTGCATGCTAGATGGATGGACTTAGGGGGGATGCAGAAGGGCGGCCATGGGCCGGCCTGGGAAGTGGCGGATTGGGGCCAAGGCTGCCCCACGCCTCGGCCCCGATCCTCCCTTTTGCCGCCTGGGAAAGGAGCACTAAAATAGCGCTCCTTCCACAAGCCGCGAAAGGGGCGCCTGAAGAGCCACCATGCGGGTCTTCTGCGCCTCTTCCAGCTCAGCATGTCCAGACACTGAGCCGGAAGGACATCATTGTAGCGCCCGCCCATCATGTGGAAGGGTGGACGCTACAGTGACATTCTCAGGAACGGGATGGGGCACCCAGCGTCCAGCTGCCCCTCCCCTTCCTTGGCTTGAAGACGGCACAAAGCGCAGTCTGCAAAGCCCCTCAGTCAGAGAGGTCATAAAGTAGTTTTAAGTTTGAGTAGCGAGCTTGGATATATACTCCTCCCTCCACACTCGCTGGGTTTAGGGGTGCAGGAACCCTGTGAATGTGGAAAAAACACAAATAACAAAAACACTGTTTATTTTATTTTATTATAATTTTA